TAGATTAATTTTTACCATGTAGGGCAGTAGCTTAAAAATGAGAAAATATATGACGTTAAATTATTTGAAAATAAAAAGACAAAATAATAACAAAAGACGCTTCAACTTCTACATATTTCAATATCAGATAAAGAAATCAGCTTTATTATTATGGTATTTTCCTCTTTCAATTAATAGGTTTTATTACTATAATAAGTTCGATTTTAGATTATTAGCAATATAAAGCTTTTACTTCCAAAACTTATCTACATACTTCGGAATACTCAAATTAAACCCAGCATAAAAGCGTACTAAGCGTGTTCCTATGAAAAATCAAGTATATAATTCCATAATTTTTTTTTAGATTTCCTTTCCATAAAATTGAAAACCAAAAACTTTTGTTAAATAAACAAATCATGATTATCTCTCTATCAATTAAAAAACTGCTGTCTTGAACAGAATAGATAAAAATTGTAAATATGTGGCTTTAGAGTCACGCCGGAGCAATAAAATAACTGAACAGAGGTTGTTTGACATGCGTTCGATTCCACCAGGCTAGCAAGCTGGACGCATGGGAGGTTTTACGTAGTTTTCCCTCTGCACAACCCGGATAAATGTCACTTTCCCTTAAGAAGTCCTCCACGGAGGTATCTCTCCCCATAGAACCCGCAAAAGACTTGACATAACTAAATAAGCTAACGAAACCATACAGTTTCGGAACAATATGTGCTCTTATGGAGAGTTTCCAACAATAATGGTTTGACAGCCGGGCGCAAAAAAATTATACTTAGGAGATACGAAAGTCATAAAAAGCAGAATGTGGACTTTAATAAGCTGCCAAAGAAGCCAGGATGAAACATTCTGTTATTATCCGATTTTTTAAATCTATGAAATTTTATTTATGATTGTGTAGAGATATTAGGATTTTTTGATGCTGAGAGACGTGAAAAATGAGCAAAGCCCTCGCCGGGACTAGAAACTAACTCGGACCTCTCGAATACGCGCCGAGCGTGCTGACCATTACACCACGAAGTCATACTAAGAAGGCGGGAGAAATACCTCATATACTCCCCTTTTAAAGTGCGATTGGAGATTAGGGGACCCAATCATCAAATCCTGGGGGTGGAGAATCAACATCCACCAGCCTTTTTAGCTCTGGAGCCACTGAAGAGACATTAGGTTATTTAAAAGCAGAAGATGTGAGAAATGGGCAATGCCTTAGCTGGAACTCGAACCTCGGACCTCTCGAATACGCGCCAACGTGCTGACCACTACACCACGAAGGCTTGCTAAGAAGGTGGGAGAAATACCCTACAACTGAAATGCTCAACTCCCAAGTGCCATTATTCAAACATAAATTCAAGGAGTGCTTTATTAATAATTACTTAAATATTAATATTAAAGATAAAATATCATTAATGTGTTTTTAATTGCCTTCAAAAGTATATTATTTTTGCTGTCATCAAATAAATAGTTCTTCATGGGGAAGAAGCTTTACATCTGTGGCAACAGCGACTAAAATAATAACACCGTGTTTCAGAGAGAAGCAGTAGCTATTTCCAGAGCTATCCAGTACATCATTGTACGAAACCTACAGGACATTGCCATCCACACAGACAAGCATGTCAGTACTTCTGTCAATACTAAACCATCACCATACATCCTCTATTAGTTACGCAAATCCAGACAGACTTACAGAAGCATCAGCATCCTAACATCACTCTCCTGGGTGAAAATGCGTGCTGAGTGAGTGGAAAAGAAACTGCTTACAGATTAGCCAAGGAAGCAACATCAGAAAATATTCATTATCCCCAATCAACACTTTGGCTACGCTTATACTTGAAGAAGCAACTGAAACGCAAGGCACAAATCAAATGGCAAAGAGCATGGAATAAATGTGAACAATATCACCGCACATACATTAGCAGGCGACAAAGCAACATCCTTTCCCCGCAACTAACAAGATTTATTGTAGGACATGATCCCTTTCCCGAATATTTTAATACACAGCAACACCGATCTCTATTTCCATGGAGATATTGGTACCTGTGATTACCATCTGCCCACTTACCAGAGAGCACCGCTTTAGTACCTTCAGTAATAACACACAAGCCTTCAGCAACTTTATGGTAAAAGAGTAACTTTGTGATCATCTGAGGGCAAGGATCGCTCAGATAATTGACAAGCTTGCAAAACCTAGAGCTGACCTATGCCTCTGTTATATAACTTTTTTTTTAATTTTATTTAACCTGTTTTTTCATGGGAGAGGAGTTGACTCAGTGCCTAGAGTAAGAATTTAATATTAAATCAGTTTGTTTCTCTGTACCACTACTTTCTTTCTTTCCACCAACAGCGAGGCAGCTGATCCACTGAGGCAGTTATCATATCAACCAAGTAGCCACGCTGACGGAATTAAGTTGGTCCACATAACACACTTTGGTGTATAATGTGCTCAAGATGAGTGCTGGGAAGGTGTAAACAAATGCTGGGAGAGTCAATGGTACAGTGATGGAAGAAGGGCTCAATGCAGGTGAGGAAAACAATTTCGGTTTCACATTTACAGTTATAGATAGATGGTTACAACTTAACTGCTGTCAATAGGCATCCTCAATGTGGATAGTAAATGAGTACTGTGGATAGTTAAAATACTGGTACAGGTATAATTGAGTTATAATAAACTGAATAGTGCATTATGAATATGAACAATTAACAGAGTGACTGATAAAAAGTCAAAACAATACATTAAATAAGGCAAAATACATAATTCAAGGAAATAAGTATAAAATTAAATAATTATAAGTACAGAACATATGGGTGGCTGTGCTGGCGACGGCAATGGCAGCTGAAAATTTCTCCAGCCTATCTGAGATATTACGTGTGATATTAACGCAATCGCGTATGCGTTTCAAAGGTCAGCGACTTTTAGAAGTAACTTCGGCCAATGAATAGATATGATCCGCTACGGCTGTCTAAGGCCCATATCACACGGCGTTCGTTTCCCGCGAACAATTTTTCTGCCTGGTTTAAAGAAAGATGTGCGACTTTTTCCTTCCTTTCCAAAAAAATTGCAAGTTGTTCGTTTTCAACCAATCAGTTATCAGCTTCGAATGCTATCAGCTTGTTTGTAATGAGGAACCAGTTTCCCTTATCTTAACCTCAAAGCGATCTATGGTGATTGGCTGCTGTGACAAAGCAGAAAAAATTGTTCCAAACAGTTGTTCTTCCGAAACAAACCGACGTGTGATAGCAGCCTAAGGTGATGTTCTGTAGTCTGTCTGTAAACGAACACATAGTGGTCCGGATCTCCTGCTATACTGCATGAGCACTGGTCGTTTTCGCTCGACTGAAACGATGCAGATAAGTCATGAAGGGAGCATGCTCTGTTAGAAACTAGGCACAGTGAGGCGAGGCACTTCTTAGAAGACTTTGGGGAAAATTCTATAGACTCTTCTGTACTACTACTGTATTTGGGTGTCGCGCAATATTTCTTTGTAAATTTCTGTAAAGTATGTAAAGTGTATTTGTGTGCTATTGTAAGTGTATGTTATGTAGTAAAGTAATTTGAGTATCTGAAATAATTATATAAATTATGTAATTATGTCCTGAGCCACAAAGGCTACAATATCTTACAATGTATTTTTATGTATCTTCTAACGCTAGGTATGCGGGGACGCGAGATAATAGTACCTAATCTGTTGGTAGAATAGTGGTGTCTCCTCCTCCCGCCAATTTTCAAGTGTCGACAAAGACATATTTAATTCGCCATTTCGCATTTGCCTACAGTCGTTCAACTTTTGAGTATGTATACCTGTTTTTGTCCGTATGCCGGATCAAACACGGTCTGTGAAATTGTATTTAGGATTAACTTCAGAGTTCACGTCCAGCTCTCGTTCCAAACAGTTTGTCTTCAACTCTCTGGATATTTGATGTTTCGCTCCACTCATAATAGCACCGTTTTGCTCTCTACAGCTGATCACCACTGCTCGATTCTTCACCTTAAGTGCATATAAATATAAGAACAATAAGAAAATCTCATCGCCATCGAAATTCGTTATTGGAATTATTTTTATTTTGTGATCATTTGCCCAGACACTCAGAATTTTTTTACATTTACATATTTTCTCGCCGACTGTTGGCAGAAATTTCGTCAACGGTTGTCAGTCGTTACTGCAGAATTCTGTAGGACACGGTCATCAACAATTGGCGCTAAATCACGCTATTTGGCCGATCGTGGGATAATCCGTTTTCGTAAGTACCCATTTTGTTTTAATGTTTGCAACTGCTTCTTTAGAAAAAGGTAAATTTCAAATTTTCATGTTTATAAATTTTGATTAATAGTATAAATTAATGGAATTTGAATTAACAATCTAGAGAAATTCTTATTTGAAAAGTATAATGAATTTAAATTATTGAACCCAAATTTTCATATTTTGAAATTTAAATGAACATGTTTATTTGTACAAAGTAATTATTTGAAACACAAAATTTAAGCTACTGTTAATGACTTAATAAGACTGTTAAGCTGACTACTTTTTATCTATCTACTTTTTATTTTTATAGTTATAAATGGCAGTTTATTATCAATATATCAGTATTATAAATATTATATCAGTATTATAAATGGCAGTTTATTATCATAAACTGCCATTTATAACTTCGTGCTTAGCTGTTTAAAGGTATCGCAATAATATATATTAACCTTCAATCGTAAATGAGATAAATAGTTATCTCTATATTTAATTCTTTCGTCTGAAATTCAAATTTAAAATTTCCAGATGTTTTCAGTTTGCAAGTTGCTAATTTATCGAAAAAAATTCAATTTTGTCAAAAATTGTAAGCTACCAAAGAAAAGGTTGCACTTGTTCAAATGAAATACGAAAGCATGCATATATTATTCAAGGAAAATCTTAAACAATGTATTAGTGATCTATATCAGGTATTATATCGAATTGATGGTTAAAAAATAGTTCATAGGCATTTCAGGTTATGATTCATAATATAATGACACCAGGATCCCATACCTAATTCGTCCTCATTATTCCACAGCTTCTTGTAATACGTTTCTGCTTCACCGGGAGCCGCTTTCTTCGCTCTGATCTTTTCCTTGTACATTTCAACTGCCATGTCTGCCCAATAAGTGTAGATGCTTCGCCTGGCCAAGTCGATGGACCCTTTATCCTTAGGAAAATCAGTATTGATGATGGCTCGCATACGATTCCTGATCTGGAAAGATAGATTAAAATTGAAAGACAATGTTATTGGTCATTAATTTTACTAATATTACTTAGACTAACAATTAGTGGCGATGTAATCTTTACATATAATAAAAGAAAGAGTCTGTGCGTCTTTCTTTCGTGCTGCGCGTAAGCTAATAGACTCAGGGATACGAAATTTGGTATATAGGTGCATCTAAGACAAGAGGCAGTGCACCTCGAAGCGATTTTTTTCAAAATTTTAATGACATTTATTTATTTTATCTTTTCGATTTTATCTCAACATTTTGAATAGTTGCATTCTTTTAAAAATGTGGTTTTTGGCAACAGTTTCTCATTCAATTGTATACTGGACTGCTGACTGTTGAAAATCAGCACTGTTGCCACTTGGAAAAATGAGGGCGACAATTCTGTGCAGTTTTTAAATTTAATGTTTCTCTTGGATACTGGACGTTTGTTGAGAGAAGGTAACGGAAAGTTGCTTAATTTATTTATTAGGATAATTAATATTTATATTAAGGGATACTGATTTTTTCATTGTATTTTTATTGTATGTAATACATTTTTTTAAATCTGTGTTTTCTTTTTATGAAATTTTTCTGCAGAGTAAAATTTTACGCAGTTTTTAAATTCAATGTTTGTTCTCTTCAGGTATTTTTACGGTACATCTAAAAGCCAGACGAAGGCTGGCAGCGTAGCTGCTAGTAGCTAATACTTTTATCGGGAAATTTTTTAATACTAAATGGTTTTGCTTTTTATATGTAAATCTTGCGAAATTCCTTTTCTTGATCAATTTTTTAATGCTTTTGGTAACTAAGAAATCATCAACATCGAAGCTTTCGCAGATGTTATACAAATGTTACTTCTACAGAATTAATGACCTCGACAGATGGAAACTGACAACGAAAGTATAAACTATGTTTTAAACGTTGTTCTCTTCGATTTATTTTTGCAGTGCTTGAACTTATTTTCAAACTCCTATGTCATTAGCACCATCAGAAGACATTACCATGTGCCCTAAAGAAAGATTTTCACTAAAGCGCCTGAAGAACATTTTTTATTACGAAAATCTTTAAACATTTCTTGCCTTCATGATAGTCCATCCATATCGCATCCATATTGCGCACGAAGAAATCCACGCAAACGCCCGTTCAGTCGGCTAGTTACCATGGAATCGAAGTACCAATGCTCAGCGATTTTACCGCTCTACTGTTGATGGGCCTGCGAAATCCATTCAGAGAACTTACTTTTCAAATCGTATAGATGAATGGTGAAGTTAGATTCAAATTAGATAAATATTTGTTCTATCACTGGTTTATTCTTAACCGTGTCCAAAAATGCTATTAAACACCTAAGGCTTATTACCAGCATTGGAAAAAAAAAAGATCCGTTTGTGAAAGATTTCTTCAGTTCTGTTGTCACAGACTGAATGAGAATGAAATGAACTATTTCAATTCAGACAGAACTAATTTTGAGGGAATTAAAAATTTAATGCTCAACTAGAATTACTTCGAGATCGAAAGAAACAGAGAACCAACTCAATGCAACATTGAACTAGAAAATAAGCACTTAGCGGATCTTCGAGCATCACCAAAACTCTAATTTTAAAGTTTCCATGTAAAACTGAAATTCGGAGACTGCTTTTTTTTTCTCCTCAATAGAATGATACTTTTTAGTAAAACAGTTACAGGTAAAGATGTAGTTAAGACTCTGCTTAGTTAGTTAGGGAAAAAACCTTTATGGTACTCTTTATATCAAAGATGATAAACCAAATGCTTACACGAAAATTAAAGTAATCGTGCTTCAAAAATTTGATCAACACCTCACATTCTGTCTAAAGAATTTAGGAAAGTGCACCTTCTCAATCATTCATGCACAATTTGTTGCCGATTAACTACTAATTTAAACTGTTACTTTAAATTAAGAGAGGAGTTAAGTTTTGAAATTTTAAAACAGCTTTTTAATGAGGCAAATTAGATTTTAATTTTGGTTTGAGGCTTCCCATATGATTTCAGAGCATGAAAATTCATTTTGTAATTAGACTGATATATATGAACGGCCTATTTGAACTTGTACGGCCTATTATGACTATTTTTATGACTACGACCAATGATTGCGAAAGTAAAAGCTGGGGAAGGACCTATAAGCCGGGTAAGGGGGCTTATTGCAATAAAAAAAAAAGGAGATGCACAACTAGATATTATAGCAGTCCCATTTACAAATTTCAACGTTCTAAGGCTGATCGTTTTTGAGCTATGCGAGATGCATACATACATACATAAATACGTAAATGCAGGTGTCATGGAAAACATCCTCTCTGAATTCATTTAAATTCCATTTTGAATTCATTTTACAAACCGCTTTGAGAAAAATCTGATGTGGACACCACACACTTCCTTGTACGGCCTATTATACACATTTTCTGCTGCATTTCATTTAAACTTATTTTCTCGTATTTCATTAGAGATATACTTCTTATTCAATTAAGCAATTCTCATTTCGCGGAAGGCAAAAATACATAAATATCAAACATCTTCATTAAAAATTGTAAAATACAGAAACACATAACACATCAAATACATTTGAAAAAAGTTTTTGAAAAATATTATAATTAAAATTAGAGTTTCTACACAAAAACAAGCAATTCGGCCTGCGGCCAGGGAGATTTTTCGGTGCACAAAAGAGAAAATTTACTTTTGGTTCCACTCGGCAAAAAGACACTGAAGTTTGCTTAAAAACTGACTTAATTCTCTATTCTGCTAAGTTTCAAATGTAAACAAATATGACTGCTCTATTAGGCTTAGTCAAACTTAAACAATTTTTAAATTGCTCATAATTCTACAGCTATTGCATGCAGATAACTAAAGATATAATTCCTTAACCGGAACATAAGAAAAACATAATTCAACCGCTTTTAAAGTAAAAAATGCATAATTTACCAAAATGTAAGTTAAAAAAATCTGATGTGTACACCACATGACTTCCTTGTACGGAATATTAAATTATACGCATTTTTCTTGCATTTCATTTAAACTTATTGGATTGAATTAAGTCTACTTCGCCGACAGCGCATAAACCACAATAGAATAAATGCATTCTTTAAAATTCACTATTTGTTTACCATAGCGACGCTCTGGCGCTAGATTCACTTAAAAATTATTACTATCACTTAAAAATTATTACTGTAATTCGTATTACTGTTGGTTTGCGCGCAGTGCTTCAGTACAAATTTTAAATTTTCGGAAAATACAGTTAGTTTTTTCTTTATAAAACAAATTCTTATACACTATTAAGTAAAATAAATCAAGAAAGATAATCATCTATGTATAAAGATGACACACTGAAAATTTCATATATGTATGACAAAAACAATTTTACTTATTAAAACTCGAAAATCAGCTAAAATTCTCATTTTGTGTTGCGCAAAACTGACGACTCCCCTTCAGTATTATATTTCTTCACATTATAACTCATAATGCACAAAATTATATCATTTAAAGAACAGAATTATCTAATCGTTGCCACATGTTCTATTCAAATACTATAATAAAGCTAGAATAATGTATAAAAGAAATTAAGAAAAAAAAAAAAAAAAAAAGAGATACAGTTTTTCACAGACGATTGAGTATTTCTCACTTAATTAATTCAGTTTTCACTTCGCGAGAAGGCAAAAATACATAAACACTCAAAATTATCTATATTAAAAATTACGAAGTAAATCTCAAACACTTATTTTCTCAAAAAAATTCCAGAAAGAATTAAGCATGATTTATTGGCATAATAAATGAATGCGTTATCTTTGTTTGTGCGAAGCTAAGTTTCTCTAGAATGGCAATAATCCGCTAGTCTCCTGTTTCAATGTAAACATCAATGGCCGCCATCAAATTAGGCTTAGCGGCATTTAAACAATTTTAAAATTGTTGAGAGTTCTAAAAATATTGCATACATATTTACGAAAGGCATAAAAACCTTAACCGGAAGATAAAAACAACATAATTCAATCATTTTTAAAGCAAAAAAATGTACAATTTACAAACATATAAGAGTAAAGAAACCTGAGATCACTGAGCCGGGGGGTAACAGAGTGGATATATATATAATATTATATACGAGTATGTTTGGTGCAGCCTATTCAACCAAAATACGAGGTGCACATCTACATGTTTTAGCAGTCCTATATAAAAATTTCAACGTTCTGAGGCTACTCGTTTTTGAGTTATGCGAGATACGTACGTACGTACGTTCATACAGAACCACGAAAATTCACTTCAGAAAATTAATTTTAAAGCAGTTTTATAATTTTTTGAAGGAAAAGAGATTTATTCTGTCCTACGTACGATATCACCAAAAACATCGTTAATTGCATTCGATAGGTCAAAATGGATATTTCGTTGAAATATGCTGCCTGACTTTCACGATTTACAATACTTCCTTTTTAACTTCGTACAAGGAAGTAAAAGCTGAGCTAACCAGCCGAGTAACAGAATGGATATATATATATATTTGGATAAAATTTCAAAGTTTTAAGGCTACTTACTTCTGAGTTATGCGAGATGCATACATGCGTATACGTAAAACTCCATCTGAATTCATTCTAAATCCACTTATAAAGTTTTGGGAAAAGAATTATACAGTTATAAGTTAAAAAATCTGATGTGTACACCACATGACTTCCTTGTACGGAATATTAAATTATACGCATTTTCTTGCATTTCATTTAAACTTATTGGATGAATTAAGTCTACTTCGCCGACAGCGCATAAACCACAATAGAATAAATGCATTCTTTAAATTCACTATTGTTTACCATAGCGACGCTCTGGCGCAGATTCACTTAAAAATTATTCTATCACTTAAAAATTATTACTGTATTCGTATTACTGTTGGTTTGCGCGCAGTGCTTCAGTACAAATTTTAAATTTTCGGAAAATACAGTTAGTTTTTTCTTTATAAAACAAATTCTTATACACTATTAAGTAAAATAAATCAAGAAAGATAATCATCTATGTATAAAGATGACACACTGAAAATTTCATATATGTATGACAAAAACAATTTTACTTATTAAAACTCGAAAATCAGCTAAAATTCTCACTTTTTGTGTTGCGCAAAACTGACGACTCCCCTTCAGTATTATATTTCTTTCACATTATAACTCATAATGCACAAAATTTATATCATTTAAAGAACAGAATTATCTAATCGTTGCCACATGTTCTATTCAAATACTATAATAAAGCTAGAATATGTATAAAAGAAATTAAGAAAAAAAAAAAAAAGAGATACAGTTTTTCACAGACGATTGAGTATTTCTCACTTAATTAATTCAGTTTTCACTTCGCGAGAAGGCAAAAATACATAAACACTCAAAATATCTATATTAAAAATTACGAAGTAAATCTCAAACACTTATTTTCTCAAAAAAATTCCAGAAAGAATTAAGCATGATTTAATTGGCAATAATAAATGAATGCGTTATCTTTGTTGTTGCGAAGCTAAGTTTCTCTAGAATGGCAATAAATCCGCTAGTCTCCTGTTTCAAATGTAAACATCAATGGCCGCCATCAAATTAGGCTTAGCGGCGCTTAAACAATTTTAAAATCGTTGATAATTCTAAAAATATTTCACACAGATTTGCTAAAGGCATAAAATCCTTAACCGGAAGATAAAAACAACATAATTCAATCATTTTTAAAGCAAAAAATGTACAATTTACAAACATATAAGAGTAAAGAAACTGAGATCACTGAGCCGGGTAACAGAGTGGATATATATATAAATATATTTATATACGAGTATGTTTGGTGCAGCCTATTGCAACCAAAATACGAGGTGCACATCTACATGTTTTAGCAGTCCTATATACAAAATTTCAACGTTCTGAGGCTACTCGTTTTTGAGTTATGCGAGATACGTACGTACGTACGTTCATACAGACACCACGAAAAATTCACTTCAGAATTAATTTTAAAGCAGTTTTATAATTTTTTTGAAGGAAAAGAGTATTTTATTCTGTCCTTACGTACAGATATCACGCAAAAACATCGTTAAATTGCATTCGATAGCGGTCAAAATGGATATTTTCGTTGAAATATGCTGCCTGAAGCTTTTCACGATTACAATACTTCCTTTTTACTTCGTACAAGGAAGTAAAAAGAAGCTGAGCTAACCCAGCCGAGTAACAGAATGGATATATATATATATTTGGATACAAAATTTCAAAGTTAAGGCTACTTACTAGTTCTTGAGTTATGCGAGATGCATACATGCGTAGTTACGTAAAACTCATCTGAATTCATTCTAAATCCACTTTATAATTCGTTTTGGGAAAACGAATTATACAGTTATAAGTTAAAAAAATCTGATGTGTACACCACATGACTTCCTTGTACGGAATATTAAATTATACGCATTTTTCTTGCATTTCATTTAAACTTATTGGATTGAATTAAGTCTACTTCGCCGACAGCGCATAAACCACAATAGAATAAATGCATTCTTTAAAATTCACTATTTGTTTACCATAGCGACGCTCTGGCGCTAGATTCACTTAAAAATTATTACTATCACTTAAAAATTATTACTGTAATTCGTATTACTGTTGGTTTGCGCGCAGTGCTTCAGTACAAATTTTAAATTTTCGGAAAATACAGTTAGTCCTTTATTACAGTTAGTCCTTTATTCTGTCCTTAGGTACAGCTTTTATGCAAAAACATGATTAAATTGCTTTCAATAGCGGTCAAAATGGATATTTTCGTTAAAATGTGATACCCGAAATTTTTCGTGATTATGATACTTCTTTTACTTTGTAGAAAGAAATAAAAAGAGTCGTTATTTTATCCGTACCTGTCTGTCTTCAAACAAAAAGAAAAACAAGAACAAAAAAGTCAGATGTGTACACCACATGACTTCCGTGTTCGAAATATTAAATTATACGTATTTTTTCCTACCTTTCAGCTAAACTTATTTTCTCGAATTTCATTAGAGATATGTTTCTCATTCAATTAATTCAGTTCTCACTTCGCTGGAAGGCAAAAATACATAAAAACTCAAAATATATTAATTAAAATTTGAAAGATATAGAAAAACATAAAACACCAAATACAGTTTAAACAATTAAAAAAAAACAATTTTTACAATTCAAATTACAGTTTCTACGCAAAAGCAAGCTATGCGGCCAGCAGACTAGAAGGCAGATTTTTGGGTGCCCAAATCTAAAAGTTTCGGTTTCTCCCACTCAGCAAATAGACGCTGAAGGTGCACAAAGACTTAATTGACTATCCTTCTAAGTTTCAAATGTAATCAAGTATAGTTGCTATGGTTAAAAAAAATTAGGCTTAGCCGCACTTAAACAATTTTTAAATTATTTATAGTTCTACAGCTATTACATGCAGATTAAATAAAGGCATAAAAACCTTAATCGGATGATAAGAATAATATAACTGAATCATTTTTAAACCAAAAAAAAAAAAAAAAATTGCAGAATTTACCAGTATATAAGAACAATAAAAAAAACGGCGCTAATTGTTCCGAGTAACAGAGTGGGTATATATATATGCTTTTGGTGCGGCCGATATGGCAACCAAAATAGGAGGTTCGCAAGTACATATTATAGCAGTCCTATATACAAAATTTCAACGTTCTGATGCTACTCGTTTTCGAGTTATACGAGATACAAACATGCGTAATGTTGTGCGTAATGTCTCTTCTGAATCCATTTGAAATCAGTTTTATAATTAATTTGAGGAAAAAGAGACCTTTGGTCAGTCTTTACGAACAAATGTTAGGAAAAAAAACAGTTAAATTGCATTCAATAGTGGTCAAAACGTATATTTACGTTGCGTGATTACAATACTTTACCTCGTACAAAGAAATAAACACCCCCCCCCCAAAAAAAAATCGTTCAGATGGATTCGGGAAAGGTCCAAATGAATATATTCAACGAAATGTGATATCAGAAATTTTAAGCGATTACAATACTTACTTAAGTAAAAACATAAGTTTCTAATTAATATTCTAAAAACGTCGTGTTGTTTATTTAGTTATAAATTATAAACTACCTTTTCAGTAATTAAAACTGGAATGAGAAGAAATACATTTATCGTACAAAAATTAAATGAGCTAAAAATTTTGGATGAATAGAAAAAGCTGAATTTTTAACGCATTATTTAATTCAGCAATTGGAGCATTTTCAACAAATTTATAAATCTTGTTTTATAAACAGGGAGCCCGATAAATTCCCTGTTAAAATTTTCCCCAATTTCTAATCTTTTTGTAAATAATAAATAGTCTTACAATCAATTAAAATTAAAACTTAGTTGGACACAGGGATGATAGTTCTTTTGAAGTTCTCAGCAAACACGTTCCTTGGCATATGAAGAAAGATTATGAGAAATTATACAATGATTAAGGCGCCTTTAAAATCTGAATTGCTACGCCAAGGGTTTTATTGACTTAGGATGTAATAGGGGTTGCTTATGGTACCAAAATACTTCAATATCCAAATGAGAAAATTCAGAAGAAAAGCACTCGTAGAGGAAATGCAATTTTCCCAATAATTCGGACTGTTGTCATTTCGTTAGAAAAATCACATTAGAGTACTTACCATTAAAATATCAAATCGCATATCGTCCAAAACAGAATCTCTGTCTTCGGGTTTTATTGCTATTTCTTTCTGTAAATCCAAATCGCGCTTGATCGCTTCAACTGTTAGTTTACCAAGAAATCCTGGAACGATCATCTCAGTGATTTCAATCTTCTTTTTCTTCAATTTTTCTTTAGGGTCTTCCTATATGAAATAGAAACAGAATTATAATTCATTCATTACATAAAATATGGTTTCCCTCTGTAAGAATTTCGGGTAAAATTCTTGATTGTAATTTTGTAAAATTCTTGATGCATTTTCGAATCGAAGGTTCTTCGGAAGAAATTTGAAAATAGTTTTTTCCCGAAAGAAAAATATATTTAGATTGTATTAGAACCATTTTTAATTATTATACAAATAATACAAATATTAAAAATTTCTATCTAAAAACTTCAGTGTAAACATCTCCAGCAATTCTCTAATTAAAATCCCCAAAAGATTTTTTTAATATTTAAAAAATTTAAACATTTGAAAATTATAAGATTAAAAAGAAATTGCAAAAAAATTCTTGATAGGCAACTTTCAGTTTTACTTCCGAAATTGTTTTAAATTAGACAGTAACGATAGATCTACTAATTTAAGAACTACTTCCCCAGCAATTAAAGATACAGCTACATGAGCTACATTTAAAATCAGCTGTTCAAAATGGTTAGAAAACAAAATATACGGAGATATTATTTCATCATAAAAATTAACACCACTCGGAGATATTCATGCGATGCGTGCATTGTTATATAAAATAATTCAAAATTACGAAATGGACTGTACTAATTAATATTTTACTTTACAACCTTAATCACACGCGTGCCATCTTTCAAGCGATGACTACTTATCTAACAACAACAATAAAAACTGAGCGAGCGTTTACAGAGTTGCTGTAATGACCATCCACGCCATGCAAGGCGCAGCGAAGAGGAAAAAAAGTGACATAATGGTTCTAATGACTGAACGGGTGTACTCCAACTGCGCGAATGAAAATCCCCCCCTCATCCTGGTATAGTCCAACTGCGCGAATCAAAATTTCTTCCCCCCTTTACCTACAGGGTTACAATTTTACTTTTCGAAGCCAATTCTAGCCAAGATTAAAATAAAAATAAAGAAGTAGAATTACATATTACAATCACAAGAACAAGTAAAGAATATCTAACAAGCAGGCTAATTACTTGAATAGCAGTAATAAATGCGAGAGCTAACAAAGAAAATAAAAGTTATTGGTATACATGCATATTAGCATTACAAACATCTTTCATTAATTACAATATTAGAGGAAAGAGTATTACAATACTATAATAAATCAAATAATTATAAAACATACAAATTACATTTTTTATAAATTACATCAATAATAGTCAAGATGTCTGAACTAGGCTGGAAAATTTAATATAGTTCACTGGCGTTCAAAAGATTATTTCGTATCAAAGTGTGTTAAAGTGTGCTAGAAATATTTTTTGTTAATTAAAGTAATCATGTAAATATTTGCAGAAATTAATAGTTAAATTAAAAAAAAACTTAGCATGAAATCTATTATAACAACTATTATAATTATAAATCTATTATAACAAATTATATTATTATTATAACAGCATTACTATGCGTTTGGGACACTGACGTATAAATTGTAAATAAATTTAAATTATTATGCTAAGAAGTTTTTTCTAAACTTTATCTAGAAGAAAAGAATTAGATAAACAGTACTGCAAATTAATATAATCAATCAGGCCCCTTAATAAATAAAAACTTATTTTTTTAACCAAAAATTAAAAATTGGGATGCAAAAGTTTGTGTAATATACTTGGAAATATCTGAACATATAATTAATTAGAAACGTATAATTAAATTAATAACAAGCTAATTAACAGTAACATTAAGCTTAATTTCATTCAATCTAAAACAAGCAATCGATCAGGAGCTCCGCATAACTGAAGATTTATTGCTATTTTATGTAGATTTGCGCGTATAAAATGAATATTTGCATTTATGAAACAAGTGAATAATATACTGATAGTCCACAGGAATTAAAATAACAGTGGTTAAAAATATGACTACTTGTCAGAAGGTATGCAAAGTTGCCACAGCTAGAGAAATTGAATGATTATAGTTAAAAAAGCTAAGCGATACAGTGTGAAAAGAAAATTCTGGAATAAACATGTTAAAAAAATTAGATGGAGAAATTATCCTTAATTTATTGATATTCAACATAAACTCTGTGCTTTTGGAAAATGTTGCATATAATTTGCACCGATGTATCAATAACCGAAGCCGAGTTAATTTTTTTCCTTATTTTTTCTTATTAGAGAGATTTGTAAAAAGATATGCTAAGGTGAAAATTTTTGCAATATTTTTTAAAGAATAAATTTAAAAAGTATTTTTACTTCATGAATTGAAATTTTTACTCTACATTTTTACACAGTAAATAAGTATAAAAAAAGAAAGAGCTGGGGGATCGCTGGGATTAGAAACTCGGGTCGAAGTACCAATGTTTAGTGACTTTTTCGCTTGATCATAGGACCTTTTGAAATTAGGCTAAATAATATATTAAAGAAAATAGAAGATACAGCACACGTAGGAGCAAAAGTGGGCTGAATTAGAGATTTCATGTTTGGTGAAAGAGTTAAACTTATCTGTATACCATTATGAAATATTAGGAACGTAGCATAAAAGCATCAGTGAAGAAGGCAATGGCAATCTAAATCATTGTAATCTAAATGTATAAAATTATCAATATCTGCTATTAATTTCAATACTGCTGAAAAACTTATAAATGAATTAATATTATAAATCACATGAACGTGTTGCATTATAAATTACAACCGTTAGAAATATTATTAGCCTGATTTAGCGACCATCTTTGTTAACAAATAATTTCAAATAATTAATTTTACAAATAATTCAGCCTGAAACTAGGTTAGAAAATAAGCTGCATGCTGAAGACTAAGCTTTATCAAGGTGTCGGAAATATCTTCTGTTAACTAGAATTATGATGCAAGAATTTGTAAAAATTATCATTTAAATATAAATTGACATAAATACAATACAAATTATATACATTCTACATACATGAAAACTTGAATACAGTTCAACAATATGTGAAAAAGGAATGGATAAAAAGGGAACTGATCCCAAGAATATAAGGGAGTTCGAATTTGTTTTGTTCGTTAATTATGAAATTGATAAAATGAATATTGATAAAAGAAAATAGAGGCTTGCAGTCTCAATAAAATGAACCATTAATGGCGATAAATGACTTTTTGTAGCACCCAATTTTCTTGGGAATTCAAGTTTTTAGAAAGAGGGAAAAGGAAAAAAGCGCGCAGTTAGTATATTAGATAAGAGGGGGAGGGGATCTTCGATCAAATTTCGCGCAGATCGTACTTTACCCTTTAGAAATGCTAAATTAAAAGGAATTGACATTTTTACCCCATAAAAGAACGAGGTCGGTTACCTAAAGAAAGTTTTCTGAGTTACATGAAATTCAAATTCAAATTACAAAAGTTTATTAAGTAAATTGTTCTTTATTTAAAATCATTCTCTGGGATCTGGATATACTTATGGATAAAGAGGAAATGGAAATCCTTAGTGCGGAGTCTGAAATCTCGTAGTTTTGCCTGAGAGCCCAATATTTTATGATTCATGTAGTTTTTCAAGAATAAAGCTTTGAATATTATAATAAATCATAAATGAATAATAATAACTGAAAGTCCTTGATACAAATGAGATGAAAAGACGAATGATTAAAATTTTATTGGAAAGCGAAAAGTGTTAAATTTACAATTAATTTTTAATAAAAGTCTAAACTGTATAACGCGTTCGAAATTTTTTTGAAATGATAATAATAAATAAAATTGTAATGAAAAATAAAATCAAAAATTTAGAAGGGAGGAAATCAAATTCAAAAATAAGATAATAATAGTAATAACATTAATAATTAATAATTAAATTAATGATAAGTAAAATATTAAGAAGAAATAAATATAAAATGTAAAAAGTAACAATAAGAAAATACAAAAAACATAAACGTAAATATTAATAAACAAATAAGTAAAAATAAAATAGCATTAAAAAGGGAATATGATAAAGAGATAGTAAATAAATGCATTAATTGCAGAAATGTACATAAAAAAATTATTGAGCTTTAATTAAAAGCTTTTTTGCTAAAATGTAGGGTTAAGTCGCAATCAAGCTGCTTCCTTGGCTTCCCACTTAATCTCTTTTTTACTTAATAAATATAAGTTCTGCTTATATGCTCAATTTTTTAGTCAGTCACTGGTCAGTCAATGAGATCATCACTTAGTCACCCACTGGTCAGTCAATGTTTAGTCAGTCACTCAGTCAATGACATCGTCACTTAGTCGGTCACTTGTCAGTCAATGTCCAATATGTAGTCAGTCACCGGTCAGTCAATTTCCAATTTTATTCAGTCACTGGGCAGTCAATGAGAGCGTCATTGAATCAGTCACTGATAAAGCAATGTCCAATTTTTGGTCAGTCAATGAGATCGTCACTTAGTTGGTCACTGCTCAGTCAATGTCCAATTTTTAGTTACTCACTGGTCAGTCAATGAGATTGTCACTTAGCCAGTCAATGTCCAAATTTTACTCAGTCACTGGTCAGCCAATGAGATCTTCACTTAATCAGACACTTGTCAGTCAATATCCAATATTTTATAAGTCACTGTCAGTCAATGAGATGGTCACTTATTGAGTCACTGGTCAGTCAGTGTCCAATTTTTAGTCAGTCACTGGTCAGTCAATGAGATGGTCACTCAGTCACTGGTCAGTCAAAGTCCAATTTTTAGTTACTCACTAGTCAGTCAATGGATGGATTTTGGATTTGGATTATTCAGTTACGGCAAAGCACACGAGGGCTATCTGCCTAAAGGGAGGGATGCCTTTCGTGGAGGACTTTCTAAGGGAAACTGGCTCGTATACACGTTACACATGGGGAAAACCACGAAAACGCCCATGCAGCCAGCCCGTTCGCGGGATTCGAACCTCAGATCGAACTACCAGTGTTCAGCGTCTTTAACGCTCGGCCGCTGGTGGGCAGTCAGTCAATGAGATCGTCACTTAGTCAGTCACTGGTCAGACAATGTCCAATTTTTAGTCAGTCAGTGGTCAGTCAGTGAGATCGTCACTCAGTCAGTC